ATTTTCTAGTCTAGCAGAGGGCAGGATTTAGCTTGTAGCAATTACAATAAATTATTGCCATTTATGTAAAATATGTGTCCTCATTAAATAGGCACTGACTATATCTTAATGAAAAAAATGAACTTTTAAGGAGAGATAAGGAACGCCACGTGAGTTTTTATTTTCTGCCACATTGAGACGAGCATGGATAAAGTATACAATGATATATTCACTTTTCCTATTCTAAGACTTGTTACGTGCTCACTGTGTTATATCTGCAGGTATTTTGTTATGTCTAAAACCAAAATAAAATAAATCAGATCCTAATGTATTTTAGTTATATTCTTCTGCTGTGCAGAAGACAATATGGTTTTTATATGTATGATGAATGTACTGTTTTTTGTTAGACAACATGTAAGGATTTTTACCTGTTTGTTCTTGGCAGCGTCTCAGTAAAATGCGGAGTCGATGCTCTAGAACTTAATGTGTTTGTAAGCACTTGCTTATCAGGTGTGCATTCTCTCTCTCAGTGTGGAGGGAACCTGAGACTCTGAAAAGCAAGGAAAGAGAAGAATAATGACATGTGGTAATGACTTTGTGCTTCATTTATTCCTGTGAATATTTCTTGTTGGTACCAATGGTACTGTACCCAGCAAATGTTATAGCTACAGCATTCTCCTTGAAAAAGACACTGTTAAGGGATTTTTCATTGTTTTAACAATTGTCTCTTTTATAACAAGAAGGGTCCAGTGCTCATCGAAATCATGGGAAAGCCTCCTATTAACTGAAAAGGGCATTTGCCTAGGCTTTGTGGATTCATTTTGGCTATGGCCATATTTAAGAGAAGATAATTGGTAGTCATGGTGAAAAGGGTATGAAACAAGTAATTAGGAAAGAGAATCTCAAGTTGCTGACATTGTCTTAAGCCAAACTCAGTTTAGTTTGTCAAATTTTTGATTCAGGCAAGAATAACTAGTCCCTGGGCTGTGATAACAGACAAAAGTATAATTAATATTTGGCATGGGACTTTAAAAAAATGTAGGGGCTGCTTTTGTCCCTAAAGTCAATGGAAGCTTTATTACTGATTTTGAGGGTGTGGGGGGGCACTGAATGCAGCTGCGAGTTCTTACCTTTTTGTGACCACAAACTCCTCTCTAAACTTTGTTTTCCTTTTACTACCCTAGGATTAAGCTCAAGGGGAGAACATTGTGACTTTCCAAGGAATTAGAGCTTTGATTAGTCTACTTGCTTCTGAAATCCTTTTCCAGGGTTTAAGATGAGAGCTCTTATGGAGCATCCTGGAAACCCTTACTCCTGTGTGTAGTACCATGGAATTTCATGGGGCTACTCATGCAATTTGGGGTTTTCAGAATAAGAACCAACATTTTTGTAAGGGACACAATCTACACAGGCAAACATTTTGAAATTGGTGGATATTTGTTGCCAAAAGACTGCAGCACTGTGCTTGAAGTTTGCTCTGTACTGTTGAAGATGGTTACCCCCCCATTTACATAATCCCCAAATATCAAAAGGCATGATAAATCATATCCCCCCAAAAGCCTGAGCATGAACCAGCTGACCCCAATGGAAGTTAGTGGGAGTTTTGGCAGCATGCGGTCTAATGGACTGCTTTTTTCCCCCACATATACTGGTGTAATACTGTGTTACAAGCATCGGGTCTGCTGGCAAGAACTAACAGATTTTCACCCGACCTTTACAGTGTCTTTTTATAAACAGGCTCATGGACATATGCATTTGGAATTTCCTAACTTAGAATCTGACTTCAGGGAACTTTCAGTGAAATGCTGTGGATGTTTGATTCTTTTTCTTGTGTTTAGATAGGAACATATTAATGTTGCCTGTTCAATGAGACTAGTTGAATACCTATCAAAAAGGGAGCACTGTGGTTATAATTTCTATTACAAAAATTCTGTAATTAATGGCATTGTTAGTTAATAAAGTTGGTATTTTTGTAGCCTTGTTTATCCTTATTATTCTTAATAAAATATTTTATAGAAAATCCCCAATCTAATCAGTATCATATTTCTTATTTGGGGTTTGGAAATTGTATTGTTGGCAGAGGTAACAGTGCCTTTGAGAAAACAAGAAGCCCAGTCCTGACTTTAGTGGCAGTATTGGATGTGCAAAGAAGGCATGAGTGGGATCACACAGACATTCTTGCCTTGATGCATATTTAATGCTACAAGTAATGCTGTTTGTATATAAAAAGGGGAATTGATCCCAAATTCAGGATCAGATCCCACCAATCCACCCTCAGAAGTCCCAATAGGAATTTTGCATTTGGAATGAGGGAATGGATCCCAAAAGATTGAAGTGTTTTTTAAAAAAAGGAACCAATAGAAAAGTATGAAATTACACTAAGCGTTCTGCATGATGGTGTTTCCTTACAAAATGAATACATGAAGAGCAGGCAGGACTGGCTGAGGTGTGTGAGGTTCTTTCCCCTGCACATGTCCCTGCGCTTTGTATTTGGTCCTGTCAGTCCAGGAGACATGTCCTACCTAACGCGCATTCCAAAACTGCGGGCAGAGCCTCCCCCACACCTAGCAGGATCCCCACTCTGTGGGAGAAGAAGAGGAGGCTGCATGGGTGCCAGTGGAAAGGGCTCACTAGGCAGCCTGGTGTCTTCCACTGCTGGCCTAGCAGCTCTTTGTGCCACTGGGGGAATAGCCACAATAGTCCCCACATGGGCAAAGCTGGAGGCCTGGGCCTGGTGTGCAGTTAGCGGCGGCCTGGGCCGCAGTGCTCCATTTGAATTAGGCCCCGCAAATAATCATGCTGGCTCTGATAGCAGAGACTTGGAATGTTCAGAATTCATTTTTGTTTACTTCATTCTAGTTTAGGACATGGAATTGTTGTCCTGTTAATATCTGTGTCACTTCAAAAAGTCTTGTTCTGAAGTATGAAATGCCGCTCCTAATTTAGTCTTTCCTTGTCTATGACTACCGAAGTCAATAGGAATTTTGGTACTAACTCCAGGAATCCAGGTACAGGAATGCATTCAATATTTGCCTC